GTTCGCTAGTTAAGACCGCTTTCCTTTCAACAACTCGCGGAATAGTTTTCAGGTGGAACGATCGCGAAGGAACACGACCTTGTATCGCCGCGCGAATGTTGTATATAATTAAAACATTCACGTAACAATCCGGTTGTTCGTTACATGACGTATGCATGAGCACGACCAATAAATCTCGAGCGGGGGTGCACGAGTATCACCTCAATGGTCAGCCGGGGTTATTAATCGTTTCGTATAATTAATATGGAAAACACGAGCACACCCAACACAATCGTGAATAATTCAGGAAGAACACGCCACGTGCTTCCTCAATTTACAATTGCATTTTCCGAGGTATTAGTAATTAGATAATTGAAGTATCCTTTGACGAGGCTTTTGAGAGACTCCACGCAAATAGTTCGTAATGCTATTGCCAAGATTTATCTTTACTCTTGGTGTATCAGGACTAGATATTTTTGTCTTCTTGTCGCGCGAGTAATGTTATTATCAGGGTTATTTTCGCGTGCACCGAAACTATTTTTATCAGCCTCCGAACGCGGATAATTCATACTTCATAGTACTGTCTTGCCGCCATCGAGCCGCCCGATTTATCCTGCGAGAGTGATAAACCGATAATTAATAACTACTAATACGATGCTATTCTCGCAAAGACCGACGCTATTCTCGTCGATCTGCGCAAATAATTTATAAACGCGACCGACGCGACTTTTCCGCTCGACTTGTACCGCGAGAATAAGCCAATTTATTCTATGAAAATGATAAACTGATAAACAGAAATCGGAGCTATTACGAATCATTACGAGCGATACGTGTCGTCATGTTACGACATCGGGGCTTACGCGAGTTTCCTCAAGCCGGAGAATCCGAGTCGCCATTAGTTAATCAAATCCTCCCGCTCGTGATAAGATTTATCTCTCGATGCGAGAAGACAACAAATCGAATCTATTAAAGCTATCTGCAACATGAGCTCTAACGGTATGATTCTTTTTTTTTCTTTTTTATGATTTTCTTATCGCGATTTTATTAATTATATACACGACACGCACACACAACACACCCACTGTGAGAAAAGGAAAAAAATCTTTGCATATATTTCAGGCATATGTGTATGGTGATGAGGGGTGTGCAAAAGATCAACAGCAAGACAGTGACCTCGACGATGCTGGGCGTGTTCCGGGATGATCCGAAGACTCGCGAGGAATTTCTGAATCTGGTGCACAACAAGTAAACGGAGTCGCGTCACGATGTCATTATCGTCGGCTACCATGGGACCACTAGATTTCAACATCCCGACTACTCTCCGACATCCGACCGCTACCTCGTTGCGAAGCCCTCGCCCACAGGACTTCGGGATCATTGTCGTCGCCGCCACCGCAAAAGTCGTCCCACCCGCTTGCATTTTATTTGTTTCTTGAAAAACAAAATCATACATGCATTCGTCGACCTCAACAATGATTCCATCTGTATTGTAAATACGATAGAGAAAGTTCAAGAGCGATCGCTTTCTGGGACCAAGATAGTGTAATAGCGGATGGTGGAGATGATGCTCGACGCGTGTCCCGCGCTGATAAGGATGCGTTCAAACTGCTGATCGAATGACATTGACAATAGCGACTATGAAGCGTCATAGTCATCCACAAAGACGCCTGTACGTTTCGAAATGACTATGACGCGGATGGCTCGTGAGCGATTTATCGCGTCGCGATGAAGACGGCGAGCGATGTGCATTCCGGTGCAAAGGAATAGCGAAAAAAAATAGCGGTTTAATTCGAAGACGAATTATTCAATGCAATAAAACGTCTGGGAATAGGAAATTGCTGTTGGATCAGCGACATTCCTATCGTAGAGTCCATGTTCGCTGCATCTTTGACCGAGCGAGTTTGTCACTTACGAAGGAGCTTTTTAGGAAATTTTTCAACGAAAGCTCCCGTTGATCGCAAACTTACACGATAGTCGATGCGCTTCTCATGACAATAAATTATACATCCCGTAGATTAGTGAATTCTTTTGAAGAGACCGCGCTCGAACTTTCGTCTGTTTGCGTCAACTATGTGGGCTTTCAAAACTTAAGGCCTTGGCACATATAAAAACTTAAGGTGTAAGATTTAAGCAGTAAGGAAATCAACATGTTGGATTCGCTACTGTTTACATTACGGTCTCTATTGTGATTGGTCGATTACTTCTTAAGTTTTTTTATGTGCCATGGTCTTTAATTTTATGTCATGCGTTTCGCGATATTCGGACTTCTCGCAGCTGCGAAACTCTACAGCCATGGGTTTCGCATTGCGGCTATCCGATCTACATCGCGTGATCGCTTATTTTTATTCGCCACATTTAACATTTGTTAATAAGCGCATTTCGTGATTAAAACAGATATATTTTTATATTTGAAATATTGCCAAAAATTAGAATACCTATTCTTTTCCCGCAGTTTTTGATTTCTAAAATTAAATTAACTTGATTTATGCCTCAAGTCAAAATATACACATTAAAATGAAATTCATTTTAAGTTAATTAAAAATTAACGGTTTTTTTATAACTCTAAAACATGATTAATATCAAAGAACTTCCTCTTAATTAATTAAAATTCTAAAAAACATGTTTTAATAGGTTCATTTAGGAAAACTTGTTTCAAAAGCGCTTATTATCAGATGCCACATATCATTCACCTTCAATGAATGATCTTCTCATCTTAGTTTGATTTAATTTTAAAAGAATTCGCGAAAAAAGTGTCGCGAAATGCGCATTGCTTCAGCCATGCATTACGCATCGTGACAAACTTTAAAAAATATCGTTTTCGAAGTACACACCGCATCTGCCTATCCATTCGTCGAAATGTTTCCTAGGGAAAATTGTCCACCCTCGGAAGTCCATTCTCGACTATCACGAGAAATGCATATCATTAAACTAAAGTTAATTCACTTTGTGTATTCTATATTAATTAAAATAAAGATATCGCGAATTGTTTTTCGTATAAGCATTGTTAAATTCACGATTACATAGGATTTCTATTTTATCTGGGATTGTGAAAATTTATATAGAGAATGTTGTCTTTGTTGCACTTTACTTTTCGCGTGCTTGCGGCTAATCCACGAGTACCGCACCTCACATTGAGATTTTGCTAATATTAATGATGTAATATAACGCAATTTTTATTGTGTACATATCGATTTTTGTTAAAGTATGTGATTAAAAACTTCCTGCCTCAACAGACTGAAGTGACAGAGCTTCAGTATATTCTCCGATTATACTTTCTGACCGCAAAAGGCTGGAGAGAGATGTTCAAGTTATACTTATGAAAGTAAACGTTTAATATTTGTAATATTTTTCTGACAATATTATATAAAAAGTTATATTTATATTTTCGATGACAGAGCGTTGCTTGTTTTTTTTTTCCCCTCTTTCCTCTTTTGCAGACATAAAAATAGGCCTGTTCTTTTTAGCTAAATTTTTAGCACGAATTTATCTTTCTTCCTTTTCTCTTCAGAAGGAAAGAAGAAGAAAGATGAACTAGTGCAAAAATTCAGTCAAAAGAATAGGCTTATCAATAGAAATATTCAATATTTCAGAAATTACATAATTTGGGATGTTCTTCGATTTATCTTTTTCCTAATAAAAATGTAATATGTACGTTATTAAATTTTTATGCAGTATGGTTTTTCGAAACTTTGGATGAAAATCGGTCAAGTATTTGTTAATAGCCTAATCGAGACACTTTGACCTACACGCACGAGTACCAAACTCATTAGTATGTTGCACTATTGCATTGTATAAATCATTTCTCGCGAAATAACGTCCTCAACCTAAATTCCATAATCTCTTGTAAACCTCGTGTCTGTTCGATGAACAACTCATTCATTTTCAATGAATTATGCATCCCTCACACGCGTTAATTATACTTATTTGGCATCTTGGAAGAAGATAGAATTGAGAGATCATTGAGAATTAATGCGAGATTAATAAATTCCGTGCTTTTTGCATTCTATTTTCCAAAATCATTTCAGCTTTTATTTTGAGTTGTATATATATTTATTTGTGGCATGAAACCTCAGTAAAATATTGTACATAATCAGGGTTGCTACAGAAAATAAATTTTAAAATTCCTTGATTTTTCCAGGTTTTCCAGATAAAAATAAGAAATTTCCATGACTAATAAAATATGTAAAAATTTTAACATTTAGAATCAAGGATTTTTATAAGAAAGCTAGCTTATTAAAAACGCAAAAGAAGTAACACAATAAAATTTTGGAAGCAAATTCAAGCCAATAAAAAATAAATTAATATTGGAAAAAAAGAATGCAGTTATGACGAATAAGAGCGATCAAATAAAATTACTGAATAAAATATAAATTTTAATTTTTTTTTAATCATTTAAAGTGCATGAAAAAAAAATTAGGGTGACCTTGACTTTTTTCCTAAAAAAAGAATATTTTGCAAATTTTTATAATATTGCAATTTGTAGCCAATTAAAAACTGATTAACTTTTATCCAAACTAATTTTTGTTAGATCAGAAAAGTTTTTCCATTCAATCAAATCTAAAAAAAATGAAACTAGGTCGTGAATGTTACCAAATACATTCGGGTATTCAATTTTAAATTTTAATTCATTTTAATCTATTCTCATTTACTGAATCTCCAATCATTGCCACCAAGATGTCGATGAATATCAACTTTTATGAAAATGCGGAAAATAAATTCTTCAAAGCAATAATTTTTAGATAGTAAATGCAGTAGAATTAATCATTGAAATTAAATAAAATAATAAATAGATACAAATAATCATGAAATTAATAATTTCTGTAATCTGTTGTTAGCAAATAAAAAGAACTTGAGATATATTCATCTTTTAAAAATATATTTTATAAGTTTTCGAAAAGAGAATTTTTCTTCGCGTTAAACATGTTCAAAAAACGCAAAAAACATAGGTTGTCAACTGTACCCTCACCTCTTTCTCCTTTCGAAACGTTGAGACAGTAGCTAGAAAAAAATTACGAAACGAATCTTATAAACATAATTACTATTTATGTACATAATTTTAGATGGCTTTCTTCGGTGGCGGTCTATAAACTCCGACCACAACAGCGTGATCTCTTTCATATGGTTCGAGTGTTATTTGTTCTTGTGGTTTCAAATTGTCGGCAGATAATTTTTTCACTTCCGACGCAAATACCGTTTCAGGTTGAGCGAGGGAGTCTATGCAACTTGCCTGAAATAAAGTATAAATACAATATAATAAATAAAATCAATGACATGATAATTAGATTACTATTCCTTAACCTTTGGAGGACCGAAGGCCCTTTTAGGAACTTTGAACCATTTTAGTTAATTTTTTGGAATTTGTGATGTTTGTAGCTCATTATTAGCTCGAAAATGTAATTAATGTTCGCATATATTTTGGAGAATAGAGCGCGCACCACAAGTATGCCGGCGCACACGTTTCTCGATAAACCGTGTACGAGACATTATTTAAAAAAGTTTATTTTATTGCATGGACATAACTTACTGTATAAAAAAGTTTTTATATACGTTATTTTTGTGACATTTTTACTCTACAATGATGATAGATAATTATTCTAATATTTAGTTAAAAAAACAAAAAATAAGGAATGCCATTTTTATCTGGACTGGAGGCTCCTCTAGGGACTCGACAGTGACGCTTTTTTCGTCACTCAACATAACATTGACAAAAAAGTTCTAGGCCTTACAGTAAAAGTTTATCAAAAACATGCTGGTCCTCAAAAGGTTAAAATTATTCGATTATTAGATTATGCTATACAACATTTAAGCTTAAATATACTTTTCCATTATAATTTAATCACAAATTTTTTACTTTGATAGAGATGACAAAATGTCCGCCGTTCTTTAGGAAATTCTGTGCATTTAGCGAAACGATTCTTGCTTGGTCCGGTTGTGCGACATCCGAGAATATAGTATCTACCATCCCTACAAGCATTCTATACTTGTGAGGATGTCTCGCATCCTCGACTATAGGTATGATGTTGCTTCTTCTTTTAGCGACATCAATTAAATCTCTTCCTGTTCGATGGGAGAATTCCACAGCAAACACAGTTCCTTCCTATATATAAAAATATTGAGACATTCATTCATAATTTTATATCATTTAGAGACGTTTGTGTATCACAATAGACTCTGTACACACGTTTATTTTTTTGAGTAAAATCAAATCTTACTCATTCTAAAAAAACGTGTGTGTGATTGTTTTAGCATTACTTCGACACCAAGTTTGCAATTGCAAGCTAACTTGGCTCTAATGTATGCATAAATGTGTTATTCTCAAAAAGATTTCCAATACTTACCGGACCAACTATGTCAGCGACATGGGACACAGTGGTACCAGATGCTGCACCTAGATATAATACTTTGCTTCCTCGCGACATATAAATTTTATCAATGCCTCCGAGAATAGCAGCAGATAATTTAGATCGAAATGGATTCCACACTCTATATTCTATCTTCTCACTCTTTTCACCAGGTGTATCAGACTGAAAACAAACATAATTTTGTTAATTTACATATTTAAAAATAAAATTATTATAAAGTTCAAGCTAATATTTACCTCAACACTAATTCTTTTTTCTCCATATACTGCTATCCCTGGTACCAAGCTCAAGGTTACTAATGCATCTTCCTTTCCTCGGGCTATGAACACTCCCTCATGGCGATGTGGTTCTATTATCACATTCTTTCCTCCTTTAAAACCACCACCACCAGTGCTTGCTCTTCCTCCTCGGCTGCCACCTCGTCCTCCACGTGGAGGACCACCACCTCTTCCACCTCTACTACCTCCACGACCTTCGCCAAAGCTTGATCTACCTCCTCCACGACCACCACCACGACCGCCTCCACGGCCTCCTCTACCACCTGGTGAAAATGCTGTAATTTGAAAAGAAACATTAATAATAGAAAAGGAATATAATTAACATATTTGTAATTTCTAATAGATATCTATTTTTATATGCTTTATATATTAGTTTATTGGATTAAAATTAATGTCGAAATGTGAGTTCATTATATCAGATATTGGAAAATAAAATTTTATTTATAATTTTATATGCTGCATTTATTTTAGTATGTTTATACTATATATATTTTACATAAGTATAGTGTTCATTTTTAAATATTAATTTTTGCATTATGGCACAAAATTAGAAAATGTTCTATTATGAATTCTATCGCCAATTATAGATCGTCCAAAAATTGTTTTTCCTCATTTCGAATGTACACAAAGACATGAAGTGCGTTTCGAATTATGCATAAAGCGCATGATGCATTTTTCCTTATTGTTCACCAAATAATAAAGAAAAATAAAACGATAAATCATGGACTTCATGCACAACTCGGAACGCACCCATAACGTACAGTACGTAGGTAATAGACATTCGAATGGCTAGGTTAAGTTACGAGTTAGTGCCACGCGACCGGCGAAACATTTGTCGCTTAATATAAACGTATATTTATAATGATTGTGAACGCTACTGAAAGGAGATACGAATTGAAATGGCTCTAAATTAAGTCGCGATATTAAATTCCAAACGCGAACTAAATCTCAAAATGCGTTTTTATACACGCCGAGGTTAGTTCGGCAGGAAAAAACCGGGATGCAGGTCTCACTGTTCGAGAATCGTGAAATGGGAGATAAGAACATAATCTACATTTCCACGTTACCTGGTTTACCCATAATGAATTATATGCAAGTGTTCGGATGCTCCTCTTCACGAAATTGCTTCCGACAGTTGCAACGTTATCCGAAAACACGTGCGTCTACATTGAACAAGAAATTTAAGAAAATGCACAGAAATCGAGCTGACCGAGCGCACGCGCCAGAAAAAAATCCTAGACGTGGCTAGTGAGACTAACGTCCCATGAGTTTGGATCACGAAGTAAAGGTGCCTTTCCATGCGACGCTAAAACGTTCTAACATCAAAAGGATCACAATTGTTGCCATCGACAACTGAAATGAGAACAGTTTACAGCATCGAATTTTAAGCGACAATTTAACCTATTTTGAATATATTATATTATTTTACATTTATTTATTAATATTTATTAATATTTATTATTCATTGGTATATATTGTATCATGTAAGCTTTTAAATTTTATTTTAGCTTCATTGGCTGTAATTTTTCTATTTAAAGCAATTGCTACTTCTTTCATAAATTTTTTGTAATTTTTATGTTGCATAGTGATAATGGAAGTTTATAATTCCAAAAAGACTCTCGTAACTGGATTTCTAAAATAAGAGTTTCTTGAGGGATTAACCACTTTTGAATTCCGATGTACAATCTGTCAGAAGTCCGGTGAAGTCCGGTGAAGTCCAATGAAATCCGATGAAGTCCGATGAAGTCCGATGAATCCATGAATTCCGATGAATTCCGGTGAAGTCCGATGAATTCCGATAAAATCAGATGAATTCCGGGTGAAGATCAGCGAAATCCGATGAATTCATGAATTCCGATGAAGTTCGATGAATTTCGGTGAAGTTCAATAAATTCCAGTGAAGCCCGATGAATTCTGATAGTTAGATGAATTTCGGTAGTCCGATGAAGTCCAATGAAATCTAATGAATTCCGATTTCAACCGGGAGTGGTTCACTTGCACACTGTTGCAATTATCCACTGCCGATCATAGTGACTTCTGCGTAGGGAATTTTTTTTTATTTTTTTTTCTAGCGCTGTGATTGGTTTGTGCGCAATTGGCTCGTATATAATTGCTATACACTCATTTCAACCTATCAGAAACTGTATATTCCAGTGTACCTGATTTCTGATAGGTTGAAATCATGTTACTTCTATCACTATCGCTATTTCTTTGCATTGTGTCTGGCGCTTAAAAGATATCTTAACCTCTAAAGTTTCGAACTTTAATCGCTTAAAATTTGTGTCGAAATATTGCGCGGAGAAGTAGAAAACACTTGACTTTATCTCCAACTGGAGATTTAAACAAAATAAAATTCTTCAACGCTTAATAACTTATTTTACAAAGCAGAAAAAGACAGAAAAATTGCCGCGTTTTTTTGCCAGATTCTTTCGTTTTGAGTGAAACCGCCTTGAATGAATATATTTTTATTAAAATTTAAGCTGAGGAAGCGATTCTGAATAATTACCGACATTTAAATATAGCCTAAATAATTTATAAATATTATACATGCACATGTAACAGTGTAAACGATAATATGAAGTAAGTACGAGCGTTACATCAAATGAAATGTTTTGCTCGTTTATACATTTATCTATAAACTTACATTTCTGTTACAGGATAAGTGTTGATGGATTGATCGTATATTTTCCGTATGATTATATTTATCCAGAGCAGTATGCATACATGCTCGAGCTCAAACGTGGCCTGGATGCCAAGGTATCATTTATTCTTGCACTTCACTGATGCTGTGATTTTGAATATTGTAATTAAATTTTGTGCTTTAGGGACATTGTTTGTTAGAAATGCCTTCAGGCACTGGCAAAACGATAACTTTATTGTCACTTATTGTGGCATATATGCTGGAGCATCCATTAGATGTAACAAAGTTGATTTATTGTTCCCGGACAGTGCCAGAGATAGAGAAAGTTATAGAGGAACTAAAGAAGCTTATAGATTATTATGAGAAAGAAACCAAAAGCAAGCCAAAAATTGTTGGTCTAGTTCTTAGCTCGCGTAAGAATATGTGTATCCATCCCGAGGTAATTAAAACTGTTTTAAAAACTGATTTTCGTAGGTGCATATTAAAATGAATTGCATTTTTATACGTAGGTCAGTAGAGAACGAGAAGGCAAAATTGTAGATGGCCGTTGTCATTCTCTTACTGCATCATATGTACGAGAAAGACATAATTATGATGAATCTACTCCGATTTGTAATTTTTACGAAGGGTTTGATATGGAGGGCAGGGAACAAATTATGCCTCCTGGTATTTACTCCATCGATGATTTAAAAGAATATGGGAAAGATCGTAATTGGTGTCCATACTTTCTCGCAAGATTTACAGTAAAAAAACTTTAGGAATCTTTTTATTTGTTCTTATAAACAATTTAAATAATAAGTAGATATAAAATTGATAATCGATATTTAACACTTTCAGATCTTGCATGCACAGATTGTAGTGTACAGTTATCATTATTTATTGGATCCAAAGATCGCTGAGACTGTATCCAAAGAGTTAAGCAGGAGTTCAGTAGTTATCTTTGATGAGGCTCATAATATTGGTATAAGAATTAACATTACATTCATTTATCGGCACTTAAATAATTTGCAATAAAAATCATATTTTTATAAATTTTAGATAATGTCTGCATTGATTCCATGAGTGTAAAGATAAACAGAAAGACAATGGAGAAAAGTACAGCTAACATACAACTCTTAGAGAAAACTGTAGCCGAGTAAGTATTTCAAAATCTTATATATTATATCTTTTTCAATTCACTATAGCCTAAATTCCTCCTCTTGGAAAAACACTATCCAATATTTCTTGCATATAGTATTTTAGGATTTATAAAAGATTATTGTATTTTGATACAGAATGAGACAAGAGGATGTAAATAAATTGAAGGAAGAGTACGAAAGATTGGTTGAAGGTCTGAGAGATGCTCAATTCCAGAGAGAAACTGATGTCATCTTAGCCAACCCTATTTTACCGAACGAAATACTTGAAGGTTAAAAAAATTGTATTTTAAAAATATTATACATTTCATACATGTAAAATGGTTAAACAATTTTCATTAAATTTTTTTTTACAGAAGTCATTCCCGGTAACATAAGAAATGCCGAGCATTTTGTTAGTTTTTTGAAACGATTCGTTGAATACTTAAAAACTCGCTTACGTGTTCAACACGTCGTGCAAGAATCACCCGCAGCATTTCTTAAGGATATCCAAGCAAAGGTCGCTATTGAACGAAAACCGTTGCGATTTTGTGCCCAAAGATTAGCATCCCTCTTACGCACTATGGAGATAACAGATTTAACAGATTTCTCTCCGATAATTCTAGTGACGCATCTTGCGACATTAGTCTCTACATACACGCACGGCTTTACAATTATAGTGGAACCATTCGACGATAAAACGCCAACAGTATTGAATCCAATTTTACATTTTAGCTGTCTAGATTCTTCCATTGCTATCAAACCCATATTCGATAGATTCCAGTCCGTGGTAATCACTTCCGGGACGTTGTCCCCATTGGATATGTATCCCAAAGTTTTAAACTTTCATCCGGTTATAATGTCGTCGTTTACAATGACATTAGCTAGACCATGTCTTTTACCCATGGTAAGTTAAAAAAATATTGAAGATAAATGATTTAGGATTCCGCACAATAAAAGAAACAGAGAACAGAGAATAAGAATTTCAACCTATCAGAAACTGTGTATTCCACAATACATGATTTCTGATAGGTTGAAATTCTTATTCTCTGTTCTCTGTTTCTTTTATTGTGTGGAGCCCCTTAATGTTTTATTAATACTTTATCTGTTTATGCTTTCTCAAAATCAGATTGTTGCTAAAGGTAACGATCAAGTTGCCATTTCGTCAAAATACGAAACACGAGAGGATGTGGCTGTTATAAGAAATTATGGTCAATTGTTAGTCGAATTTGCTGCGACAGTACCCGACGGCTTAGTTTGTTTTTTTACGTCATATTTATATATGGAATCCGTAGTAGCCGCATGGTATGTACATATATGTTTATAAATAAAATATGTTAAAATTTTATAATAATTTAATATAAATGCCATAGGTATGATCAAGGAGTTGTGGATCAACTTCAGAGACATAAATTATTATTTATCGAAACTCAGGATTCGGCGGAAACCAGTCTAGCTCTGATCAATTACATAAAGGCTTGCGAGAATGGTAGAGGAGCTGTTCTACTCTCGGTGGCTCGTGGAAAAGTGTCCGAAGGCGTCGACTTTGATCATCATTTGGGGAGAGCCGTGCTGATGTTTGGCATACCTTACGTGTACACACAGTCACGTATCTTGAAGGCGCGTTTGGAATATCTCAGAGATCAGTTTCAAGTAAATCCATAAAACCATTATAAAACACTTGCTTACTTGAAATATACATACATGTGTGTATGTGTGTGTTTCTGTAATGTTTCTCCAGATTCGAGAAAACGATTTCTTAACTTTTGATGCCATGAGACACGCCGCACAATGCGTAGGACGTGCGATCAGAGGGAAAACGGATTACGGTATCATGGTGTTTGCAGATAAGGTATATTTCTTTGAAGAACAATTCGTCGTATTTACAAAAATATTTTTGCATTTTGTAATATAATGACATTTCCGTACTTTCATCACTGTAGAGATTTTCAAGAATAGATAAACGAAGCAAATTACCAAAATGGATACAGGAACATTTGAATGATAGCTTATGCAACTTATCAACTGAAGAAGCTATACAGGTAATATTAATTTTTCATTCGGTAGCAGGTGCTGTGATTAGTGATTAAAATTTGACATTTATCTAGTAATAATGTTTATTTACAATTTTCAGATCAGTAAAAGATGGTTACGACAAATGGCACAGCCATTCACGCGTGAGAACCAACTTGGATTGTCATTATTGACGAGAGAACAACTTGAGAAAGAAGAGGCTGCCAAGATTGAACAAAAGGCTCAGCAAAATTGATAGTACAACATTGGCAAGCTGAGCAATCCGTTTTACTTAGGCAAAGTGATCTGTATCATTTACAGAAAATATATTTCATATGCAGCTTCTTGTACAAAGGCCTATTTATAATTTGTACTTTCGATTGCAACTGTATTATAAGGAATGTAAAATATAAAATATACTTTTTCCAATAGCGGCAAGAGTATTTATCTCGTTAACTTAAGCTTACATTATCAGATTCCACAATCTCAGCAAGGTTCATCAAGAACATGCGATGCAATTAAAAAAATTTTAATAACAAAGTATTATAGAATGGACTTTAACAGCGTAGAAAATACAGTCGTATATCTATAAATATAATTTATTCGATGTATCACCACCTCACAAGAACTTGATCACCGTCCTGTATTGAATAGTAACTAAGTTCTTGCAAGGGTTTATCCAATGAGATTTCATTGTTCGATAGCTGAAATGTTACAATATAATATTATTTGTAATCGTCGATTAATAAGTATAATTATTTTTATAACATTAAACTTACATTACGTGGGATAAATGAAAGAGCCGGAATTTTCCCACCAGTTTTAAAAAGTCTTTGAGCAAGCCCAATCATTTTTTGAACTTCCATATCTTTAAGTAACTTTCTCTTAATTCCTCTAGGTTGATGCGGATCATCCGGGCATACAAATTCCACGGTTATCACATTTGAAATCATTTCTACTTTTGGCTTAGCCGAAGGAATATCCGCAATTCCATATTCTGAAAGTGCAATAGATTTTTATTTTACAAGAAATCGTAATTAAGTTCTGTTGAATTCTTTGTTGGTGTAAAAAATAAACTTTATACATACTATCGACTAAAATAGGATATTGTGGATGTTCATTTATGAAAGATGTTCTTTTCTCCAAATTACTTTCAGTTTCTAACCACAATGGTAAATACAATTTTAAATAATCATATTCGGCACCTCTCCTTTCATCATGAAGTATTTCTGTACCATTTAAGATCTTTAATTTCGCAATTCTTGCAATTACCAATTGTCGAGCAGTCTCTACTGTTTCGTTCTCCAAAATGGGATTTCCTCTGAATTTTAAATCTTCCAGATTTGATAATTTATCCAATTCACTAATGGATTGCCACTAAAATTGTCAGAAATTTTAACTGCATAAATGCAAAAAATGTATTTTTTTTATTGATACTATCTATGAAAATTTATTACCTCTGATATGAGATTTTCTGAAATATGTAGTTGACGTAGAATAGGAAATGAAGCAGTCTTATCTGTTGATGTTGATGAAAATCTAATTCTATCTATTTTGTTTAAATTCAAATTAAGATATTCTAAGCTGTAAAAAGAATTTCTCTTAGTTATATAAAACATAAATTTTATGCTTCTTAAAAAAATTAAGAAATTGTACAAAAAAAAAGAGGACAGCTAAATATTTTGTAATGTTAGTTACCATGGAAGGGAACCTAGTTTAAGTATCTCATCCCAACTTGATATTAAATTTCCTTCAAGTATTAATGTAACTATTTTCATTAAATTAGTATTTGCACAAGTCATATCATCTATAGTCATAACAGTATTAAAAGAAACTGAAAGTTCTTCGATCAACGGAAACATGGATATACATTGTCGAATATCAAACCAGTTATAATTCATTCTAGCTATAGTTAAATGTTTAACTGTTGAAAATGAATCTTTTAATGCTGTCATATCTTCTATAGGCAGATGATTTTCACTGTGAAAATAATAAAACAAATTTTTCTTATACTTGTAGTATATATTGATATTTCTAATATTATCTAATTACTTCCTTACTCACCTAACATTAAGACGCATCAGAGAACGAAGTTGGGAACATATATTTGCTACAATTTTCCATGAGTTTATCAAATTTCTAGATAAATCCAGTTCTTCCAAATTAGGACATAATTCTTCCAATTCTTGTGGCTCTCCTGCATTGGATACACACTGTTCTCTCAGCCACACTATTTTTAGTTGGTCAAACTTGCTCTGCTTTTTGTTCACTTTGGAGAAACCAACAAGCTCTAAAAACGGCGCGTTCATTTCTTTCCTTAAAGTCGATACTTCGTCCCTGTCTATGCCTGCTAATTCATCATCGATTAGTCCATAACGCATTTTGATGGCTTGTGGACAAGATATCCCAAATTTGGCTTTGCCTGGCCGTATGAAAGAGCCTGATGTGGAATGTCTTAAAAATTATATGCAAAATTATAGATTATTGCTACTGTCGTTGCAAAAAAATGTTATCAATTGCTTCATTTTACCTGGCTTGAAAATACTCTACACCTTCGTAAGTGCCATTGTGTTTGCCACGAGTCGAATCGTCCCAATCTATTCCCAACCACTCTCCCTTGGTGTTTCCAACGGGTCCGACGTATTTCAACGTACCTCGATATCCGTCGCACTCGATACGGCTTGGAATCTCATACTTTCTATCCTCTACCATACCTAAAAATATTAGAATAACAATCATCCTGCAGTGAAGGAATATGCGGGAGTGTAGTCTTTTAATTGTGACGAGTAAGCTCGACAAATTAATCACGACATGCAGAGATGTTAATAAATGTAAGAATTTTATTAAGGAAACGTTTACCTATCGGGGAATACAAATTGTTTTAGATTGCGGCTGACAGCTTAACCTTTAACTCAGAAACGCACATTGAGGAAATATGGAAGAAGCAAAATCGCGCGATATTGCTGCGCGCGAGAAATACGTGAATATCAGAGAGTATGAAAAGTAATATCAGAACAAAATATCAGAATGAGATGAATTATATACAGCGATTCGCTGCCTCTCTCTTGTATTTCGCGAAAACTTCGCTGTGAAGACACCCACTACCCACACACCGCCCGCGCTTGTGTCATCTGTCATGTATATATATATATATAATGGCTTCTGCACACTGAACGCGGAAACGTTTGCCGCGCGGCAAAATGCGACGCGGTAACCAATGAACATGTTAGAAGCTATAAGCTTATTGGCTACCGCGTCACATTTGTTACGCGATAACCAACTACAGTCGAGTATTCCCCTGTTATAGTCAAACGACAGGGGAATGCTCGTCTGTAGTTGGTTCTTACATTCTGATCCGGTTTAAACCCTCGGTGGAAACTAGGCTACTAATATACTAGAATACTAAGTTTCCGCGTCCACGTGCAAGAACCATCGCATGTGTACTATATATATATGTCTGAAATTGTATTGATATATCTACATTTTTTGTAACGTGCATGTAATTTGAGAAGCATTCAAGTTTAATTTTCAAGAAATATTTTTGCTTTTTTCATAATACACAACGTAATTTCTTTCTTTTTAATTAAATATCGACTTAATATTATTAGATAAATATACAAAATCTGGACCATTTGGAAACGAAAAATAAATATTTTGATTTTATTTGTTGAGAATTCTATTACATACTCTACACATATAACATAATATAATATAAAAAAAATATACAATTGTGTGCTAAAAGATATATAGTGTGCATAAATACGTATCATTTTCACTCGCGTTAACTTATATATAATGATTCTGGTTTCTCACATCTATACTGAGTCTATATATATATATATGTATATATATATATATATGTATATATGTAATATATATCGAATTTGATAGTAATCTCTGATTGTTGATTACATAGTAGAACATTACATCCAATACAATGAATTACATTGAATTTCATTGAATTACATTGAATTACATTAAATTTAAGGACTTATTGCTCTGGCGCAAAATATATTTAAGCACCTAACATATAATTGGCAATGTTAGCGCCATGTAGGATTTCGATCCAGTAACCATCAGGGTCTTTAATGAAGGCGATCCCCTTCATTTTGCCATCATTTGGTTTCTTCACAAATTCAACGCCATACATCTCGAATCTTTGACACGCTTTGTTAACATCAGGTACTGCTATTCCAATATGACCTGTTTCAAGAGAGGAAGAAAAATGCGTGATATTTGTAAAATTATAAAAATTTTAGTTCCTTCTTTACATATTTTAATTTTATTTATGTAACTTAAAAAACTTTAAGAATAGTTAATGTATTTTACAATTTTCTTACCAAATCCTTTGGGATCTATATTTCCATTGTAATATTTTACATCAGGATCTGTTTCTGACCCCCAATTGCTAAAACATACATTAATTTTCTATAAAATTAAATAAAAATACATTAACTTTCATAAATTCTCACAAAGTAAAATCTTCAAAAATATCATATATTTTAAACTTACTGAGTTAACTCTATGACCGCTTTTCTACGGAATGTCCATTCGATACTTTCTCTACGATCGAGTGGTATTTCATTCTGGTCCTCGTATCCAAGGAAATATAAGGAGAATTGCATTTCTGGAAAGTCAAGCTTTTGCAGCAAGGTCATTCCGAGAACTTCAGTATAGAAAGGTAGGGTGATTCTTGGATCTTTTATACGGAACATTGTTTGCTGCATTATATACCCATTTGTTGAAGGGTCTGGAGTTTTACAAAGTTTGCGAACTTCGCTGCTGCTCAAACCCAACGGCTCACCCATCTGTAATTCAAGAAACGTATCATTATTCTTCCATAGTAATTTCGACTAAAACGATTAACTTAAACGATAATGAATTTTTTTTATAAACGAAATTATTTTATAGTAAAATTTTCAACTATATAATTTATCATCTCTAATCTCTTTTTGTGTATTAAGTAACATAAATTATAATTTTATCCATATTAGTGAAATATTGAAAATATTACTGGATGCAAATTAATAATTAATTAAGTTAATTGAAACTTAAATCACTTTGCTATATCTTTTTAACTTAATTTAATGTACCATTTGAATAATTTCTTGTATGACTATTTATATTATTTTAGTTTCTTACATTACTGGCCAAGTGATATATGATTATACAAGTATATATATAGTGTTGCACACATATAATCTGCTATCATCTAATTATTATCTCTAATGCAGGAGTCGGAAGTCAGTATTACCGCAAGACCGGAAATGATAAGGTGGAAGTAACCTGCAAAATTTCAAGTTAATAAAACTCGCAATAATTTGCAAAACAAATCTGCCAAATCATACATTATATTTGTTTTCAAACATATTGACACTTTTTTCATACTTTTACGATCACAATAAAGTGCTATGCTCACAATAAAGTTCAAACCATTAATTTGATCAGTCATAGTTTCTTTTTTTAGAAAAGATTCTGTATATTTTTGTTCTATATAATTTTAGCAATATAAAATTTAACAATATATATTTTGAATAATATTGCGTTATAGTATAATTTTATGGTAAATAAAACATATATAATTTTTGTCTTGTAACTGTGTAATATATGTAAGGTGCCTGATAATAACTGGATCATCTTTATCATAAATACTACAGCGAACTGAATCAAAGTTCCATAATTTTGTAATTTTGACAAAATAGTTAACAAGAAATTAATAAGATCGCAAATACACAGCGAGATATGACCGTCCAACAAGGGAAGATGTTTTTTTCGTCACTCCCCGGGTTGTCATTGCCGACAATGACCTCTGTTACACGGCACGCCGAAGTTATAACACCGATGTTATGAAATTGACCAATCATAGCTATTCCTCTGAAGAATGGAATGACTGTGATTAGCCAGTTTCATACATCGATGTTATAACTTTGGCGTAAAGCGTGCCATATAAACATAATAAATATCAGCATTGCTGCTTGTAGTAAACACAACTCTCCCCTCTCCCCCTTCCCTTCTCCCTCTCTCCAGCGACCAACAACGTGGCTGGCCATTGTGCGATCATATTTTGCCGCGCAACTGCACTTAGCGTCTAACAGTAGATGAATTCGATCATCTTTAGAGATTAATTTCTCATAACTTGCGAAAATTGCGAAATGCAAGATTTTTCGTTTCAAGACTAACACTATCAGTTTAATTCGCTGTATCTATTCACGAAAGATAATTCAGGCATTACCGGACACTATATATATGTATATAAATATATAATACAATTAAAACTATACAGAATTACATATATATCACACTTTTTCTTCTTTTGTTTGCATGTGAACAAAAGTTACACTGTTCTATTATGTAGCTCCCATTGTTAAACTATATATTGTTTCACACCGACGCAATACAGACACTGCTTTGTTGCTTTTGTCACGTTTTAAGGATTTATCGACTGCCGCGATTATTTCCGGGCCGAAGAGTTTACAGATAAACCATCGCCGCCATTCAAGGACGCGCCTATTCCCGGCATCAATATTCGCTCACCGCCATATGGCAAATTCAAATTGGCTGTAAGAATCGTGAGCAACTGTCAGCGATACATATCGACGGCATGTCCAACTTGGCAGCCTATACTTGACACGCAGCATCCAGATCACAGCGTAGAACTGTCTTTTCGATCGTTCCTCGGAATCCTGCTGCGAAGTATATCTCTCGCGAGAACTCGGTCGCACAATTCCGGCTGCGTCATCGCTTTTATCGTCGACGTTCATCGACGCGTCCTCTGCACGCAGACGAACATTAATTCCACTCACTTACCTCTTCCTCGAAAGACGCCAGAGTAACTGGTAACGCCGTACACACGAGGAAAAATGTCACGCGAGTAAACGCGAGATGATACTTGAGAGCCCGATGAGAGTACAGCTACGTGCTACGTATGTCGTATACCAAGTACAGACGCTTAATGTCGGCAACGATCTATATATAGCATGCGCATACGCTCGGCGTCATAAAATGTCTTCCACATAAAGTTACACCAATTTTGGGCGTATATACACTAAGCATGCGCATCGTACCTTGTACCTAGATATTGACCGGTGTCGTGACTGTGATTATATTTAAAAAAAAACAACGTTATCGTAAAGCACTACTCCGACGTGACTTCACATTTGATATATTGCAATTAAGGTACGTGATCCCAAGTGATCCTAAAGTCAAGGTACATTATCGACATTTTGCCATTTTTTAATATCTTTCAATTGAATTTATAGAAATGCAAAATTCTTGTATACAATTAAAGTACGTAAAAAATAGCCAGTGCAGACATTGGCTTTTTACTGAAAACGAAAAAAAGTTAAAAATATCACTTATTTTTGGCACGTACAACTACTGTCACCTGACGGCATTTGCTTAATACAACAATTCTACAATTTATATGTGCAAAATGAGTGAGTCTTACCGAAGAGACAACATGCACGGCAGTATCGTGCGATTGAAACTAAAATTCAAAGTCTAGAAGAAAAGATTGTTTAAAATTTTTTGTTTTATATCAATATGCGGTTATATGCAATTACAGATAAAAGATGCGTTTATCTAACGTTGATAAATTATCGACTGTCGATAAATTATTTGACTTTGATAATAATTGCTTTATATTTTTATTTAATGAAATCATAGCGATTTCGGTTGGGATGCACTAATGCATATAAAGATCGTTATATAATGAATAGCAATTTCGGCTGGAATGCATTAGTGCACATAAAGCTGTAATACACAATTGCCGTAAAACTGTATTAAAAACAGATTAAATCGTACAATCTCTCCCTCTCCCCAATATATTTTATTGTACTGTTAATAAAACATATAATTGATAATTTCCATTTCGTTTTTGCACTCATAGTAATTTCGGTTGGGACGCATCGATTGCATATTTCGGATGTCGGTGCAACTGATGTATTCGGCTGGTTGAATGATGCACTGCCAGTGTCACATGTTCGTCTGGACTCGGTATACCGCATAAGTGTACACAAAGTGGCCCCGACAAATTTATTGGGGCCAGTTGGTGGAATTGTCGGGCTGGTAATTTCATGAGACGCTGAAAAATAGCGTGTGTGTAATCATGTGATATTAATTTTGTCGTGTCTGATTTCAGATGTGATCCATTTGATGTTACAAATTCTTCGAAACTTTTACTTGACCAATCAGAAGAAAGAATTTTATCTGACAATCAAAAAATGCTTCGAAGCATCAAGTGGGCTATAGCCGGGCATAGCCTTCGTCTGAAAATTGATATATCCAACTTGTAGCATTAATTTACGATTTCCGATTACCGACTTATGTAGAATCAGCTTTACAGTGAGTTTTTAGGTTAGGAACAGAAATCTCTAATATCGAATGAGTATTAAATGTTAAACTATACGTATTAATTTAATATTTACGTTTTTTATTACGTAAATTTTATTTATATATTTATTCGTATTACTCGAAAACAAAGCCATTGTAATAAAATTTGTATAAATTATCATAATACACGTTATTCTTCTTCTTCTTCGTTATTGGTTGGTGATTGAAGTAAACGTGACAATTGTATCCCAAAAAAGGAAGTGAAAATCGGTTACCGGGAAAATCGGAAACAAGATAGATTTTTCGAAAATCGTGAATGATGCAAACAGTCGAAAATGGCAAATGGAGGTTTTGGAAACTTCTTAATTCCTTTAATTCTAGGATTACCTGATAGCATACCCACATTTAAATAATATAAGATTTTGAGTACTATCCTCTTCTTTAACTTTTTTTATTTTAAGAAATTTTACATATTCAGGTACTAGGGTGGGAATCCTTTATCCTTCACTTATATCTAATATTTTCCACAGAGGCCTTTTAATTGACTTAACTATGATTTTTTATCTCCATATAGAATAGCAATTACCATATTACTAACAGATTGAAATCTAAATACATTATTCTTTGATCCATTTGGAAGTGAAGATTCTATTTTATACCAACGCTTATATTTTTCACTCTAAAGTTTATATCGGAATATATAAGGGTAGCGAAACTACCAGGGTTGGTCAAGACTAATGGTTTTTTTTTAAGAATAAAACATATTATATATATTTTTTAAATATTTTTAATGCTTCGAATATGCTTTAAACAGTACTATAAAAAAAAACATTACAAACATCAATTAGCATGTTTTAAATTATTTAAAATACGTTTAAAACGTGTTTTATCAATTCTAGAAACTACTCTCTTCTTTTTCTTCTTCTTCTTCTTCTTCTTCTTCTTCTTCTTCTTCTGGTCAGTGGATTTCCGATTTCTTGTAGAAATCACAGTTCCAAGTAAAGATCGCTGAACTGAAAGGGGCCAGTTAGACCAACGCATCATTTTAATAAAACCTGCCTTTCAAATACAGATAGCAATTTCGATTGGGAACACCAATATGCACTAGTGCATATCAAGACTGTTAATTCTTACCACCATGGCAGTGTATGTTTTGTCAGGCGAACATGAGATTCACGAAATGCGAACCTCATTACCGATCTATAATACTAATCGTGTGATATCATGGTTGTAAATTCTCAGTATTTGAAGGGTAGTTTTATAAAAATGATGCGTTGGTCTGAGTGACCCCTTTCAGCCCAATGATCTTTACTTGGAAGCGTAGTACTGTGATTTCTACAAGAAATCGGAAATCCACCGGCCAGAAGGAGAAGAAAAAGAAGAAGAAGGGTAGTTTCGATTATATACTCCGATATAAACTTCAGAGTGATGAAAAATCAAAATAAGTGTTGATATAAAATAGAATCTTCACCTCCAGATGGATCAAAGAAGAAGTAGAATGGCGATAATTAAAATTGATCAAACTAATAGTGGGATTTTATCTATAGATATAATTTTTTGATGTATATTTAAAATTGTGAAGATAAAATTAATTGCTCTCATAATAGAAGATATTTCTGCAATATGGAGAGAAAAAAATTATAGTTAAATCAATTGAAGGGCCCCCACTGAACTATACATACACTGGAATGGGTATCTCCGCTGTGAAACATAGAAAATCGTGGCATCAATTGATCAGCGTCATTTTAATTTGGTCAATATAAGAGTGAATCAGAAGCTTTCAGGGCTCATGTGCACTTACGTGTTCTTTAGTGAGATGCATGTGTCAGCAAGATCATCATGTGTGGGATTATATTTGAAAGATTACTTTAAAAGATTATAAAATCGTGTGATTGTAAAATGTGCAAATCATCAACATGAAGTGCTGTGTGCCTGAATGTGGACAGAGAAGTAAAAAGGACGAAATTTCATTTCGTAAGTAAGAATTTTTGTATTAAATGTATCAATTCCTGCACATGTATTAACAACGTTAGGATAGTGAAAACTATTATTAATGTCGCTTAGGATTGAAAATGTTAAAAATTTTAATATATTGTATTTTACATATTTTACATATGTATAGGGTATGTCACCAAAATCCGGATAAATTTCAATTTAAATTTTCCATTATATATTGTGCCTCCGCTAGAGGTGTTGGTGTCCGAGAAAACCTAATGCTTCTAGTAAACAGTCATATTCTCAAAATGGCCGCGATGTTGAAAGTGCAGAATATAATCGAAGAGCCGCGATCATCGAAAGCCTTCGCGCTGGGCGCTCAGCAATAAAATAATTCGGTTCTTTGGATACCCAAGATCAACTGTTTATAACGTTATGGTAAAATATACGGCTTTAGAATTAGTCCAACAAAGGTTTCAGTATGCCAGCGAGGAAGAATCACTCGAAAGAACGTATCACGAGGACCCCCGTAGTCATTGAAAAGACTCAAGCGCTAATTTCAGATGACCCAGAGCAATCGTTGCGAAAATTAACATCATTTGTTGGTGTAAGCGAGTCAACAATGCGTCGAATTGCCGAGGAAGACCTTCGATATAAATCGTACACATTAAAGATACGACAGATGTTCTCTGAGACTGCGAGGACAAGTCGAGTTGCTCGCCTCGGCTCTCATTCTGACCTCCCAACAGCCCAGATTTAAATCCCTTGGACTATTATGTCACATGGACAGCGCTACATACACAATAGCGCAATATAAAAGGTACTGTATACCTTTATGTAAAAGTATCAAATGATAGTTGTGCAATTCTGAACGCTTTAAAAATGTCCTCTGTTGAATATTTTACATTACTTGTGTAACATATTATTTGTGTAACATCGAAGCTATTAAACAATTTTTAAGAAATATTGTAGATGAATGTCAGTAAGAATATATTCGACACTGCACTACAAACATAAACAACACACACATTATTATAAAATATATTTTAATATGGAAGTTAATGTTTCAGCAAAATAATACTTTACAATTTGATCCGATATTGAATGCTCTCTTTTTGGTTTATTAAATAACTATAATGTATCTGAAAATGAATCAGTTATACGTAATCCAAAACGAAATGAACTATATGTTCGCAGCCATAATAAAATGTCAATAAAATGTTAATAATATAGAAATAAATATGATTTAATTTCTCTTTGAAACAAGAAAATAGTTTTCGGTACATTTGATCTATTTTATCGATTGCAAAATATTAGATCTGTTTTCTGTGGCTGAACCAGTATACACTTTTGAAATCTAAAGTGAGATACGTTTGATATTTGACGAAAGCAAAAATTAAAGACAGTTTTAGTGCAATCTCTCTAGTACAGGAATAAAAAAAGGATCTATTATTGAATAGTTTATACAATATTTAAACAGAGTTGGCAAATAACGCATTATTTGTAACGTCGTTATCGTAACGAGTTACTTTTTTCGGCAACGAATGGGTAACAATGTTAGATTTTCTTGTAAGTAACGTTCATAGTAATGCAATTACATTTTTGGTGTACGGTAACGATTCACTAATTACTTTTATCGTTACTTTATTTCTAACTATGTAAAAGTTTAGTCGTAACTATAGCCTTAGAAAACGGAGGTAAAATATTGACGGTCTGTCCAAAAATATTGATTGGCTATCCAAATCACGCGATCACGACGCCTTTTTTTCATTGTATTCACAGTTAATATATATAGACTAACTATAGTATAGACTAACTCAGATATAATCTTTACAGTATATTTAATTTCTAAAATTTTTTCTGTATCATATCTTACAAATTAAATATACGTATATAATGCAGATTACAAACAATATTATTTTTTTATTATAATATAATTTTACCTTTAGTTAGAATATACGTCATTTTTGTTTTTTTTTTTTCGAAATCTGCACCTGGCTAAATAATTCTTTCTATCCTTTCCTTCTTTTTAAATATACAACTTCATAAATGTTTTTTAAAGATGTTAAAATATATATAAGAATTTATTCAAAATCTTTTTGTTTGCAAAAATTATGGAAATTAACACACACACAAACGACTCATCATGCACAGTAAAAGAAAATTGTATAGGTATTAAGAGTTAAACGCATAATTTAAAGATATCTTATTAAAAGTAATACGAAAAATAAATTTATTTAAGTATAAAAATTACAAAAAATGCAGTATATATTATGTAATATGACAGAATCTATTTCATTCTTGAAAATAACGCACGATGTTTACTATAGGCATATATTTTTTTAACTCTATTCCTCTATTAAAAAATACAATTTTGACATCTTTTTTACATTTACTGCAAAAATCTACATTTAATATTCTATTAATATCAAGAAAAAAAGATAATGAAAAAGTAACGGCTCCTTATATTTTGAGTAATAGTAACGAGTTATTTTTGCAAATCAGTAACGAGTAATGAGAACGAGTTATTTTTTAGAAAAAAGAACGGTAACGATAACGAGTTATTTTTATGAATGAAATATAACGTCGCCAACTCTGTATTTAAATATAACTTGCATTTATTTATATAATTATATTGTTTATTTTCTCGCTTCTAATATCACACTTCTTTTCAGATAGCAACACTTCAGTGAAGCATTAAATGTTAAAATGGAAAACTTTACATTAAAATAATTGAAAGTTGATTTAATTTAATTAATGTTAAACAAAAACGATATTTCGTGCTGGAATAATTCGACATAAACATATCATTTAAGAGTAATTCTTCTCACCAACGAAAAATGTTTTCTCAACTTTTGAGAAAACTTGCATTTTTTTCCTGAAATCAAAACTACAAGTGTCTAGAAGATTTTTCAAATATGAATACACAAGTTTTAGTTTTCACAATTTTTTTGTGCAATTTTTTTGTGATCAAATTTAAATAAAAAATTTTAATTATATTTTATACTTTTCCTACAAAATTAGAATGTTTTTCGATCATGACACCGTATAAGGAATATTCTAAGCATTTTGTAGGAAAAGTATAAAATATAATTACAATTTTTTATTCAAATTTGATCAAATTGCATGAAAAAGAGATCAAAAGCATTGGGAAAACTAAAACAAACTTGTGTATTCATATTTGAAAAATCCTCTAGATATTTATAGTTCAGGTTTCAGGGAAAAAATGCAAGTTTTCTTAAAACTTGATATTTTTCATTGGTGTCAAAGAATTATTCTTAAATAATATATTTATGTCGAATTATTCCAGCACAAAATATCGTTTTCGTTTAACAATAATTAAATTAAATCGATTTTCAATTATTTTAATGCAAAATTTTCCATTGTAACATTTAATGCTCCACTATTGCTATCCGAAATTGTGACATTAGAAGTGAGAAAATAAACAATGAATGCAATATGTTATATTTAAATACTATTCAATAACAGATCTTTTTTTTATTCCTGTACTAGATTGCACTGGAACTCTTTAATTTTTGCTTTCGCCAAATATCAAACGTACCTATCTCAATTTAGGTTTCAAAAGTGTACACTGGTTCAGCTACAGAAAATAGATTTAATATGTCGCAATTGATAGAATAAATCAAATGTACTGAAAACTATTTTCTTGTTTCGAAGAGAAATTAAATCATATCATAATTTATTTTTACATTATTAATTTGACATTTTATTATGACTGCGAACATATAGTTCATTTCGTTTTGGATTACGTATAACTGATTATTTTCATACATTATAGTTATTTAATAAACCAAAAAGAGAACATTCAATATCAGAAATGTAAAATATTATTTTGCTGAAACATTCTTGCATATTAAAATATATTTCATAACAATGTTTATGTATATAGTGCAGTGTCAAATATATTATTGCAGACATTCGCCTATTTCTTAAGAATTGTTTAATAATTTCAATGGTACAAAAGTAATATAGTAATAAAGTAATAAAGTAATATGTGACATAAAATATTCAATACAGAACACTTTCAAAGCGTTCAGAATTGCGTAACTATCAGATCATCAAAACTCAGTGAAAAGTTACAGCAGACAAAGATAAAAAAAACCGTTTTAAAGCTTGAAACTTGTACTGTAATATATTTTTGATTGTTTTTCAAAAAATTATTATGTGCATATATATATATATATATATATATATATATTCTATTTTTTTTAAATTGGCGTTCATATTACTCGATAGAGCAATGTTTCAGCATTAGGAAATTGATTTTTTAATTGTGATGACTTTTGTCGGAATAATGAGTAATCAAAGATTATTTCTTTTTATTTAATTAAAATAAAAAAAATTGTAAAAATATTTAAAAAAAAATAGTTTCATAGCCGAAACCTCAAATTTTCACGATAAATAGTGAAAAAATTCGCAAATTTGTTTTGAACAGATCTACAAAATGAGACAAAATTTTGTTACTCTTCCAGCTCGTAGTTTTGTATATGTCAAAATTACAAAACTCACATAAGCTCAAAAAATATAGTAAGCTTTTCAAAGTAGAGATTCCCAGTTTAAAATCCTTTTTCTAAATTTTAAATTTTGTTCATTCAATTTTGTTCATAAAAAAGATGTACATACAATTTTGGGTTAACAAAATTTGAAACAACTTAATATATGCTGAAACATTTTGTATATATATTACACGTATGTTTAGGTTTATGCAATTAGCATTTGCTGTAGCTAAACATAGGTTATAATTATAATGTATATTTGAGTGTGCAATTTTTCTTTTGCTATATTAGTTAGCTGCTAAGAAAAAGTATTAATGCTTGATCTTGATATGCGTTTATGTATACAAATATACCTACACACACACACACGCACGCACGCACGCACGCACGCACGCGCGCATCAATATCAAGTGTTAATACTCTATCTAGATCTTAGCAGCTAGCTATAGCAAAAGAAAAATTGCGTAAATCTAAATATACATGTAATGCATACAATTATATCTCACATTGAGATATATATATAGCCTATGTATGGCCTATATTGAGATATATGTGTGTGTGTGTGTGTGTGTGTGTGTATGTGTGTGTTTGTATGAAATATTATACAAAAAAATAAAAATTGTAGCGATGATTTAGAACGTGCAAAAAAGATAATTTTGTTAAGAAAAAATATTTTTTTTATCTGTGCTCTAGCAGAGATGTATGGAAATATACATATTATAAGATATTACAAAGATCTCAACTTTTCCGTATAAGTACTTTAAATATTCAAGATGTGATGATACCCAGACAATAAAAAGTGTCTAAAATCAAATCGAACGTTCTTTGTGTATAAAAAAACGACTTAAAAACGTCTTATGTTATAATTTTAGACTTTGCGTTGTTTGTATTATATAAAGTTTTTTTGCGATGCAGAAATTGCATGGTTATATTGTTCTATAAATAAACAAAGTATTTTAAATTAAAATTCTTGACATTGTTTAAATATTTGTATATAAAAATTGATAAGTACAACACATAATTAACTAGCTTAGCTCATCAATCCTTTTAATTTGTTTTATTGTTAATAAAATATCTTGTTCCCTTATTTTGTTAAACACTAATTTTTGCGTCGCAATGAAACTTGTAACTGCATTTTAAATATTTAAAATACTTACACAAAAAAAGTTTAGATTAATTTTTCATTACATACATTTCAAATTTTAATATTGTAATAAAAAAATAATAAAGTAAATAAAAATGTATTTAATAGAAATAAAATGCTTGAAATACAACTATCATATGTATATAGTTTATTATTTGAAATATAAATATTAGCACATTTGTAAAAAAAAGGATGTAATATAACTTTAATATTAATATTTTTAAGCGAAATAAACATCACGCCCATGTAAGATTGCAGAGATGAATATTTCTGAGTCACATTTTGTGAATGTAGCACGATTATATATTATATTATATGAACCAAATATCGAGTTATCATCTGCAGCCTTAAAAAATGGATCTTGCTATGTAGCTTAAATCCACTTTGTCTGGAGGCAGTAGTGCATGGCAATATTTTGCGATTACAAGTTTTAGGTCGTCATATCTCTCTCAGGTTTCTTTATGTTTTGACGTACGCCTTTACTACGAGCGTCCGCTTTACAAGCAGCATAGTATAATACATAATGTCACAAGATGGACTCGTTTCTCGTAGGAGAAAATAACGAATATGAGCTGTTTGCGCGTACCAAATGCAATACTTGCATTGCTGCAGGGTCAACATTTTGAGTAATATCTACATTAAGCAAGTGAATAAATACAATGTGAGTAAGTAATGAGAAAATGAAAATTATGTTATTTTTTTTGCGATTTCCTCCAAAACGAAGCAAAAACGAATGTATCTCTACACGACCTTTTTTCTTAGTTTATCGATCCTCTACACGCTTCTGAAGTTTTAACATTTAAATTTCAAATCCTGTATATCAAATGATATAATTGATTACAGTTAATCCATTTATTTAAGATAGATTGATATAAAATAACTGGATTTTATATTTATAGTCTATGTTAGATTTGCGATTTCTTTTATTTTTGTATATGTGAACCTAATATGGCTCAAAATGCTATAATCTTTTTTTAAAATCATAATTTATTTAAGTATATATATTTGAAATGTTTCATACTTTTTAATGTTCAGAAATGTTCCTTCTTTTGAATTTGACGATCAGTTTTTAATTTCAAACTCAGCAAAGATTACAAAAAGGTCACAAAACTTAAATAGGCCATATACGGTGCAATTACTTTATTTAAAAACAGTGTTTAAAAATATTATTGAATATCTTATAAAATAAACTATATATATATATATATATATAAATAAAGTTTTGATGATTTGGTGTATCCAATAAAATCTAAAATTAAACATTCTATAAATAAAAATGAGAAACTTAAACTGGAAAGATTAAGCGAAAGTGAGATTTATTACCTTGTATATTTCATACGACTAACTTTCAACATACTGTCATTTTCATTAAGTCGGTAGAGCCGCATGCCCTGATAATGATTAATTAAGTATTCTGTCCAATTAAATTCCATCATGTTAAAGTTAAATAACTGTTTATCTTTCTCTTCGAGATTATCCCACATTGATTGAACATTATCAATAGAATATGTCCATTCTGTGTTACAGAAAGGTTCAATTGCTTTACAAAATTTGTCTACCTTCATATATAATTTCCACATACTGAAATATATTGAATATTATTAAAATTGTTCATATTATTAATATAATTTTATTTGATTTAAACAGAAACCATTATAGTAATACATACAGTCGTAGTAGTACATACAGCTGGTCTCAGAAAGGTAGCAACACTTTTTTTTAGATACAGCCGCCTAATCACCCAGCGATTAGTTCTTATTTGTGTATCCATGAATAAGAATCAATCGCTCGGTGAGCAAGCTGCATTTCGAAACCCATCGAAAAAAAGGTGTGGCAACCTTTCTGTGACCGGCTGTACCTTAAGGTTCAGTTCCACAACTTACGATTACAACTCTTAACCGAAGTTCAACTTATTCACTGTCTCTTTCCAATTCTAGAATGGAAAGAGATAAGAAGTGAGAGTTGTACTTCGATTAAGAATTAACAATAAGTTAATTCTTAAGAACTTAAATGAGTGTATTCAGTATCATGACCGTTTACTGAGTGCTCAGTGAGAGGTTGTAGTACTGAATGCAGCCAATATAAGACACAGTATTTATATTTAAGGTTAATGCACATCAAAATTTTAGTCAGAAATTGTAAGTGACTTAAAGAAAACATTATAGACATAACAGAAAATCTATTAAGGCTGTGTGACTTGGTGGCAGAACGAAAATCTACTAATATTTCCTTGTGCAAGAAAAAATTTAGAATTAAGTTCACGACGCGATAGAGGTTGGTATTCATAGTCGATTCTTACTTTAAGACTGTCGTAAGTAAAATCTTAAGATATAAATCAACCCGAGGACTGTATTAAGATCTTAAGACATTATATTAAGGCAGTTTTAAAATAAAAAACAGACTGTGAATACCGCCTCATGTTTCGCGTTTCATAGTTGTAGCCCTTGGGTGCGTTCCGAGTTAACGAACAAAGCACATGATGCATCATTTGTCCTCGTTGTTCATCAAATAATAAAGAATAAAACGATACATCAGCGTAACTTGGAATGCACCCCTTGAAATTTATGAACATTTATAGAAAGAGAGGGCGGAGATTTAAAGAGAGACACCGTCCAACTGCACACACCATGTAATCCCTTCCATCATGTTATAACGTTTCACGAGCGTTGCTTCTGCACACAGGACGCAGCAACGCTTGGCCCCGATGCAGTAGCCAATCAATTTATTGCTTTTTGCAGTTTTATAGTTATGATTACAATTTTTACGTGCAATGGTCTTTGCTTGATACCTCGGGCTACGTCCAATACAGATACTGGCGGCATCCAAAAGTAAAGCAGGAAGGAAGTGACCGAACCAAACGCAAAATCTGTATGGTATCTTATGTTTGAAGAGAGTCATTAATGGCAAGTATATGGCATTACGTAAGGGATATATTTTATTGATGTCAAGTAATGCATGAATGTATTCATTCCAAGTAGGGCCATCGACTGGCGGAACGAAATTATAAACAAGCACATTATCTGTATGGCTATAACATAAATGTGTATTTAAATAAACAATAAGATATAGAAGTAATGGCTACAACGATCAAAGTTAAATCTTTGATGCTTAAATAATTCATCTAAATTACTAAATATATATATATATATATATATATATATCATATTTATATATATCATATTGATATATAGTTATTAATTTGAACTGCCGATTTTTTGAACTTATAAACGCAATTAAACACTATAGTAATATCACGTATTAAATTAACAAGTAATTTTAATAATTTGATGCTCAATCAAGCACCTTATTAGAAAGATGTTGATGTGATGAAAAACTGTAAATAAATTTATTGCGGAAAATATTACCTTGGTCGGAATCGAGAGTCGAACCTATATTTCGTACGAGCGTTCTAAACCTTTAGGCTACCAAGGCCTTAGTAAAATAAGAAGTTTATAAGAATATTATAACTTTTTGCTCTAATAATATCTGTATGCAAGATATTCTGAAATTCGCGGATCAGAATATCACAGAAAGAAAGTTTTTAGTTTTTAAAAAATTAAGTAAAAATGATATTTGTGAATTTTTATTTCAAGCAATAGTTCGACAATTTAAACTTTTATTGTTTCATAAACTGCTTCTTAAAATAAATATTCACAAATAATTTTTTCATTTAATTTTTTTAAAACTTTCTTACTGCGATATTCAAAAAATTTCGAGACAACCTGTATAGTCGAAGAGTATCATATAGGGATGTTCCATATGTCCTGGACAGGCTGAATATCTCGGAAAGTATGCACTTTTGAGAAAATGTTTCAGATAATGTTACATTATATAAAGTAATGCATTTAGTGATGTTAGAAGTTTGATCTTGGGTAGTTTCTAAGGTCAGATCGAGGTTACATCGATTTTCTTTAACGGAATATCTTACTTTGATTCCAGAGTCTAATAAACGATGTCGAGAGCTATCCAAAACATTACAATAAAGTTATGTTTTATTGAGTACTTCTCGAGTTATGATGCTTGAAAGTATATCGTGCTTGCAGTATCACCAGTATTAGCGTTACTCAAGATGTCCTGCCAGCTAAAACCTCTTGAATGTTGTTTATTATGTACTGAATCATGTCCTGGATAATATTTGGCAAGATCACGACCATTAGAGAGATTATACCTTTTATATTCATTTTTACGTAAAAATGAATTTTTAGTGCAAAAATGAAAATAAGAGGCATACCTTCTAATGGCCTTGTTCTTGACAAATATTATTCAGAACATGATAAGGAACAACATTCAAGAAGTTTTAATCGTCAGTCGGTTACATTGTGCAATGCTAATGCCAGCGGTATGTACTGTAATTTTCAATCCTCTTAATTCGAAAAGTAATTAATGAAAAATAACTTTATTGTAATGTTTTGAAAAGCTCTTGACATCAGCTATTAGATTCTGGAATCAAAAGTATGGTGTTCCATTAAAAATACATCGATATAACCTGATCTTGGCGACACCATTCAAGATCAAACTGCTAACATCATTAAATACATCATTGCAATATTTGTCTGAAACATTTTTCTCAAAAGCGCATACTTTCCGAGATATTCAGTCGGTTCGGGACATCCTGTATTATAATATATATATTTATTCTTTAATACAATTTTCTTTCAACACATTATATTTATTCTTATGTACTCGTTATTCCTCATATTTTTATAGTTACAATAATATAAATCATAAAACTGATCGTACCAGTATTGACTGCAGACATCATACGCACTAGCAATTAAAGCGTTTACGGTAAAATCAACAGGCACTATATTCGCCTTGTAAGCGCCATTACAGTGGTGAAATCTTACGATACCGAGTAGCAAACTCCTTGCGAAACCTGATAACCCTGAATACATATTGTCGATCCAACCGATAAGTGGTTCACTGGCGCTAGATATAACTAAAACGCATCTTAATTATTCCTCTGCGTAGATGCATGAATATTTATATTAAATGTACGCAAGTATGCACGCACTCCACGGTTGTTTAGAGTTATTTTAAAATTAAACTTTCACATTATACGGAGTGTGTTCTAAGTACGTTAAAAGACTTTAAGAGATGATTCCTTACCAAAAAGGAATTTACCTCGAGGAAGGAAAACCTCAAGATAAAAATTCTATATGATCATATCTTGTAACAGTTTGATTTCAAAGGTATATGATATCAAAATAATAAAAAGATGTTTTTTCTTAAAATCTTTCTGGTTATTTTAATGTATATTATTTAATATTATATGAATTATATAACTTTATATGTGTTTAAAGAACATGAAGCCGATTATCTTTTGAGGTTATACATTCTTTTTCATTCAATCAGAAGCAGACACAAAGATAAAGCGGATAATGCTTTTTTTTATGAAAAAAATTGATATGCCAATGATTTCTTTATGTTCAAAATTTTTTTATGATAAATAGGATATCATCAGAAAAGCATTCGGGAAATTCACAGAAAAATGTATCTGTAATATTTTCGATAGAATAGTCATTTCTGAGATCAATATCAAATAAAATGATTTTTGGAGTCTACAAATTTGAATTTATTTTTTTCCTCGGAAATGATTATTCTATTGAAAATATGTTAGAGACATTTTTTTGTTCATTTATCCCAATTATCTTGAAAAAATATTAAACTTAAAAAAAATCAGTGGCATATCAATTTTTTTTCTAAAAATGGCATACTCACTTATCCTTGAGTCCGGCTTTGATTGAATAAAAAAATAATGTATAGCCCGAAAAGATAAGGCTTCTATTAAACATACATCAATTTTTTAAAACAATCTGAATGATTTCTGAAATTTATGGAAAAAACGGAATTTTTTTCATGTTTGATTACATATCTTTGAAACTAAGCCGTTTTAGACATTCAGTCATATAAAATTTTTGTCTTGAATTTGTGTGAGGAATCATCTCTTGAAATCTTTTAGCATATTTAAGACACACCACATAGATGTGCCATACTATGTGTTGTAAACTAATTAATCGTGCAAAACGGTGAATATAGTTATACTGTATATAACTTATACAGGAATTTAGTGAACTCTTCGCTAAAAAATCTATTAGTTTTTATAATTAATTATATTGTTACCTATTGCAGGTCGAAATATTCCAAATCGACTTGCAGCTTCGGTTTTAAATAGTCCTTCTGAAATTGCCTTCGTGAATGTGAATGTATTCGGCCATTGTGAGGAGATTCTGTTCAAAAATGATGAATTAGCTTCCTATATTTATGTTATATAATATATTTAATTATACTTTATTATTTTTGGAATAGAAGAATTACTTAGAAATTTTCTCTTCGAATATGTTTTCGGGTAAGTTCCGTGCGAATGTGATAAGATGTTTATGATTAATGGGATACGAATATATACGTTCTTCAATATGTTTTACATGACAGTTTGAGTATATTGTTGACACATGAATAAATGACTGAAATAAATGATAAATTTAATTTATGTTTCTTTCTTAAAATAAGTAAAAATTTAATGACATATATTAATTATATATACATGTATATGATGTACATTATATATATATATTAATTATATATTAATAATTTTTGTTAAGTACTATTATTAAAACATATTGTTAGATTAGTTACCTTCAACTTCCACATGCATGTTGCAAGTTTTATGATGGTAGCAGTAGCATCAACGTTTACTATTGTAGAAATTTTGAGATTTTCGTAGAATTGCATATTCGTTGCTATATGAAAAATTATCTTTACCTGATAATAATAATCGTTACACATTATTTTAAGTATAACAGAAATATAAAAAAAGGAGAGAATTTATTTCTTTGTTGACAGTTATCCCAGGTAGCACAGAGTTAAAAAAAAATTCAATGATATGTCATCAATTCTAAATTCATTTTCGGATGCAAAATGAATTCTTTTTTTTGAAAAAATTCTTGTCAAATAATGAACTTTATTATATGTTTTCAAAAGAGGTCTATTTTGCAATAATTAACGAGATATTCTTTTCTAAAGATTATCGAATAAGAACATATTCGGCCGATCATTTCACCAAATGCACGAGTTATTAATTATTAAAAGTCATCATATTAATCCAGCTTACCGCCTAATAATGCAAGCGCACAGCGAGATGCAGCCGCACAATGATCGAGGTTACTGAACACCTTATTAATAGTAAACAATTTGCCGCATACATAGCTATCTCGATCGCTGAGCGATTACATGACATCTCGCCATGCGCTTGCATTTAGCAATAAGCTACGCTAATACAACGATGTTTAATAATTAATAATTCGTTAACTATTACAAAAATTGAAAAGATCACTTTTCGATTCAGTTTAGTTCGCTCTATTTGCATATGAAAATTGTCCTAAATATTCTGGGATACCTTGTGTATAACATGTTATATGTATATAGTATAAGTTTTTTTAGATAAACATTAATTTTTTACGTTAAAATATAATGTATACAGACGAGAGAGTAACAAGTGCACTTTTAATTACCTTATTTATTAGCATGTTTCTATCACTTTCTGACAATCCCAAATCTTTGATATTGCAATCTCCTATGATTGGTATGATTTTTTTGCGAAAATAAGGTACTTCTTTTTTTATTCGGTCATAAAGCTGTGGATTATATAGATTTATATAACAATGGTTCACAAATATATTATGTTTTGATATAGTCAGTGTGTTACTAACCGGATCTTCAAGCATTTCGTCCAACAGATTTTCAGGGCTTTTATCTTTTTGCGAACGTACCATTACATATATCATAGAAATATCAGGACAGCTTCGTAACAGTTTCTCGATCAACATTTTTCCAAGAAAGCCTGTTCCTTCTACCAAACAAAATATAAACAAATTAGAAAAATAATATACATACTAATGTGACCAAAAAGTAAAGTAGCGGCTGATGCAATAAAACCAAGATTGTTACTTCAAAAAAGTAAGGCATTCCCGTTACTTGAAAAGGAACAATTCGTTATTTTTTTTATTATGCTGAAGTAAGTTATTAGATTTTAAAATTTCATTAGCTGATAATTTAATATTAAATGTGAAATAAATGTTCAAATTTGAAACTCTCTACTAACTACAGTTTGTATATAGGGCAAGCTTTTGTTTATATTAAACTTACCTATCTGTTTTATTAATTCTTTATTTTCTTAATATCGTTATTTTACTGTATTCATTTTTATAAGAATTTGGATTATACACATTAAATATCATTTTTAAACGTTAATGTTTCCTGGTGGAAATAAATCGGTGAAATCTTTATCAATAGACTCATTTCAGTATAATTTATGAAAATGGAATGAAATGAATCAATTGATAGAGATTTCAACAATTTTCAATGATTTAAGTGATTTATTTCTACCAGAATTACTATTATTTGTATTTCAATATTTATTTGTATTTCAATATTGCCCGTACCGTAAAAATTTACAGTATAATATCATATATGTGATATGAATTATATATTTTCAACATTGGTAGTGTCTATTGGACACTATGAAATATTAGACAGTATGAAATATTAAGTACAAAATATTTTTTAAGAAATTAAAAATAAATTGTAAAATAAGAAAATAATAGGGAACTGAAGTAACGGTAAAAGTAACGGCTAAATTCATTATCATTATTGTAAAAATATAACGACGTTACCGTTATCGTTAGACAGAATAGAGTAACGATTGTTACTGAAAAAAGTAACAAAAGCGGTAATGGCGTTACTTCCTAATCTTGAATAAAACGCAAATATGAATTTATTCACATTCAAATTTATTTGGTTCTCTTCAAAACAATCACCTACCACTGCAATATATTTATATCAATGTTACTTCCGATATATCTTTGACGCACATTAATAGTAAATTTCGGGTATAGCCTTTAAAACGTGCAGTGGTATTCTTTTTTATCGCGTTTATCCATTCAAAATGATATCTATGAGGAAGAGTTCCACATCGCTAATTGACCAATTTAAAATAAAATATTCTTATTGGTAAAGGAGCGAAAAGTTGGTAACTTTGGTAAGTTTGTAAAATATGCTATGATTCTTAACGGCCAAATCATGGCCGAAAATTTCAGAATACTGCTGAAGGTTTAAGATTATAAAAAAATTATATATAAAAGAATGCATTTTTTCAAGATCTCTTACAAGATTCTCTTCTTAATATTAATATTTTATTATTCAATATATAGACAAGAGCTACAAGCCAATATTATATATTTATTAACAATATTAGAAGATAAAATTATAAAACAAAAGTAGAAAAATCAATAAAATTTATAACAGAATTTAATAACAAAATTTACGATGGACATACATTTCAACTTCACACGAGATCATTTTCAATGTTGTTAAATTCAATTTTATTAAGTCCTATTATCAATTTTATTGTTTTTTCTACTTTTGTTTTATAATTTTATCTTTTAATATTGTTTATAAGTATATTATATTGTCTCGTAGCTCTTGTTTATATATTGGATTTTGAATCGTTTGAGCCGTTTTCTTATAATTTTAATTCTACTAATATTTAATTATTACTCTTGATAAATACCTGTAATAAAGATTGTCTGGCTGGCGTAAAAATTTTGTATCGGTGTACTGTATGCTTCAGTTTTCATGTTGTATTTACAGCGAGGTCTGTAGGATAGAGATTAAGACTTCTGAGTACTTCAATTTCACCCAAGAACTCTGCGTTGACGATACAAAATCAGATGACGGTCTGATGGAAGATACAACATGAGATCCGTTCGGGCAGGCGCTATTAGTTCTTTTGTGTGTTTATCATTCTATCTTTGTTCTCTATAGAAAGAGAAACATAAAGTGTGTTCTCTTCGGAGCGCCAAGAGTGAATGAGACAGCGTGCTCCTTCTCACATTAGTCGCTTGTTTCAAGGAACCGAATGTTTTCGCAGCATTCTCGGCC